CAAAATCTGAATCTGAACATGCAATAAAGGAACACAACCCTGCGGCGCCAGCTGAATCGCAATCGAACTAACTCAACGGTGTCCAAGGCGTAAAATAGAACACAACGCGGCCGCAATTGCAGGCATAGTGACCACGCTACAAGAGCTCTGAAAATCGTAATACAATACGTAAGTTACCATTACTAGAGAGTGTTAGACTTTTAGGTCTTCCTTCGTCAAACTCAGTTAGTATACTGGGATCATTAAGCACCTTGAATATGGCATGCATTCTTAGCGCCTGCACCACCGCCGTTGCCCCCATAATCAATATTGACATGCGAATGCGCTTCTACTATTGTTTCCATTCCCAGCGTTTCAATACCAACACTGGCAACATATTTAGCAAGTTCATGAATCCGTGATAATTTTGTTGCCGAACATGATGCCATTAGAGTGTGTTTCCGCTGAAAAGTGAAGTTCTACGAATCAGTCTTCCCCAAGGACTGATGAGGTTTCACTGTTACACTCTTTGAAAAAAAGTAGGAGTAATGTTAACATGGCGTAGAGTTGATGTATCGCTTGAAAACTATGTAAAACCCCGAGGTTGCGGGTAGTAAGGATAGTTTTGCTCGAGTCTTCCGGTATTAAATATTCCGAATGAATACCCGGAGTTTCATTGATCTTTGCCTCGATTTTTTTACACAGATTCCTAAAGACGTTACCGCGGCCCAAGCACTCGAAAAAGAGTCTATTGCTATTGCTTCGTACAATGCGGTAGCTTTGTTGAAACTCATTTTTAGAACATGTGTCCGAATTCCAGCTGAACTTTGCGAGATTGAAATTCAGTAAACACATTTGAAAAGCGGCAAATGCAGCTATGATTGTGACATTTGCTTTCTAGACGTACCGATCTTTACTTTGACAGGTGATCGGTTCCTCTGTGCTCGATTGGCCTGCCTGGTGACAGTCCAACACTAATTGACCCCTCAATATTGACCATATTTGGCTCAGAGCCTTCGCTATTGCTGCGACTGGCGAGAAAAGGAATCCCAGTGGTAGTACGTATTCGATAATACGCTC